CCCCCCCCCCCCCCCTCTCTCTCTCTCAGGCTGCATGTTGGATGGGAGATCTTATAACAGCTCAGTTTCCTGGACCAGCTCCACCAAACCCTGCATAACCAGACGCTGTCAGGTGTGTAGAGCTGTGTGTGTGTGTGTGTGTGTGTGTGTGTGTGTGTGTGTGTGTGTGTGAGAGACAACACAAACATGCCGCTGTCAGAGGAAGGTAGAGATACAGGAGGAGGGAGGACAAAGGGAAGGAAGGAACTAAAGGGGAAGGAAAGAGGGAGGAAAGTGAGGGACAGCAAACATGGAGGGAAGGAAAGGAGGAAGCAACTTAGGGGGTATGATAGAAAAGGTACAAAGGAAAAGAAGGAAGGTGGCCAAGTAAGAAAGGAAAACCAGAAGGATAAATGATGGATGGAAGAGAGGAAATAAAGAAGGAAAGAAATATGGTTGAGAAGAAAGAGTTAAGGAAATGGTGAAGAGAGGGATGCATCAAAAAAACTGAAGGGAACATTGAAGCAGGGAGGGAACGAGGAATTTAAGGAGGGAGTTGAGGTAAGAATCTTTAGGATACAACAAGGAGCAGTAGGGAAAATGGAAGTGATGATGTAGGAGGAAATAAAAGAGACACGGAGGAACAAAATAGCGTCGAATGAGGAGAGAAATGGACGGAAGGAAGCCAAGAAAACACGGAGGAAGGACGGATCAAACGTCACGTAAATGTAGAACGTGGAGACATGATTGGTTTCCCTGCTGGTTGTGACAGGAAGGTGTCGTCACTGAGGCGGACGTCCAGTGTGTCGTCCACTGCAAGAACCCCAAGATCCACCCCAAGAAGTGCTGCCCCACCTGCCCCAGTGAGTACCGACTCCAGGTCCAGTGGGTCTCCATGAAGTCATGTGAACTTCAGAGGATTCACTTCATCCACTTTTTTGATCTTTGGCCAATTTATAAAACGCAGAATATTTTTTAGTGATGAGTCTCCTCCTGCAGGTTGCATCTTTGAGGGTCGCCTGTACAAAGAGAAGGAGGACTTCAGTCCTGAAGTCAAACCCTGCATCAAGTGCACCTGCACTGTGAGTACACACACACACACGTGCACACGCACACACACACACACACACACACACACACACACACACACA